TCTTCCCACAGAAAGAGAGAGAGACGAAACCTCTGTAACATTCTTTGGATTTTAATTCCCAGGCCCACAACTATAGAGCCCTGTGTTAAGCATCGTTCCTTTAAACAAAATACGAGGTAACACAACTCATATCAGTACACCCCTAGACCTAACAAGGGACAGGGAACGGAGGTTGTCTGTGCAACACAGGTTACACCATCAAAACATATTTAAAGACGTAACTTTTTTCTATTCACTGAGGCACAAAAGGAATGCTATTCTGCAATGTAATAGTTCCTCTTCAAGTATCAGTACCAGACTCTTTAGCTGTGAACGGTCAATAGCTTAGAACAGATTTAAAGTAAAATTTAAGCAAGTTATCTCATCATAGAAAAGGACAATATTCATGTGGTTTAAGTACATGACTACACACCTTGCTAAACTGGGCTGAATCACCAATGATGGAATGGGCAGGTTTCAGTGGGTGGGTGGGAAACGGTTAAAAGAAAGTACTTCTGAGAAAAAGAACACTCATTTACCTCATCTGTGGTTCGGAAAAGGTTTATTATGTCCTTTGACTTTCGTGGCACCATGGAGGGCTCAAAGTGCACCAGTCGATACGGCTCTGAATTCAGGAAAGTGGTGATCCACTGAGCCACTTCATCTCCACAGTCCTTGCCTTGGATATCCAATCCAAACACCCTGAAGGATCACGAGACACCAGCAGGTTAGTTGGAAAACCAAAGGCTCAAGCATGCTTATCATTCAAAGGCAAACAACTTGTTTTAGAGTAGTAGCATGATACAATAAACAAACCGCCTGAATTTCAACAAGGCAGAAGCTCGTTTCCGAATTTAGCACCACACTCTAACCAACTGAGCTAACCCGGCTGGTCATTTGGCACAAGGATCATTCCCCATGCGCAATCTCCTTATGGTCACCCTGTTTTGGAAGCTAACTAACATGGACACGGCCGGACGACATCAGCTGGTGAAAGAATGAGCCATGAAATAGCCTTTAGGTGCCCAGAGCTAACTGTCACATCAATGAGCAGTAACAAACCTACCCATTTGCCATACTTTGAAGCAAAAAAGGGTGTAGTCTTGCATTTGTATGTGACTGCAACACCAAAAGACTTGCCCAGAAATCAGCTGAAAGGTAATTAATTTCAGAAAATGAATGACAGTTTGAAAGGATGTGGTTAGTTACTGTAATTGACGTCTACACATGTTATTAATTGTAAATGTCCCTGATTGTTAAGGAAGCTTTCCTTCAGATTTTAGTGCTGGAAAAGTTTAGCCAGAGCTGAGTGAAACTCAAGCTCAAACTTAAGATACTGAGCTACTCTATACGCTGAGAGAGGTTAAAGATTTACAATGGAAGCAAAGTCCACGGGGCATAAAAAGCCACTGGCAGCCGAACACAAACAAGTTTACACAAGGAACACTTTCCCGGCAAGAAAAAGTAAACCTCAACTCAATCTTCCAGTAAACTTCAACACCAGTTGTGAACAGCTTTACTGCTGTCTCCAAAGTAGCGATTTTGACCCAAATGCACTGCAGTTTATCTCTGCAATCATACCCAGGACAGCTGAAAGGACAGAGATGCCCAGGCAGTTCATCTAGCCTGAGCCCAGCTCCTGGGGGCCCTCCTTTACTCATCTGGGGGAGAGATGAATCACCAGGGTGCTGTCAGCAATATTCCTGCTCTGTTTGCTGGGATCCCTGTATCAACTCTGTGGCACAGGTAGGTTGGGATTAAACGCCATTGCCCCATATTTCCTCCATTCTCTCAGTCCCTGTGTGCCTTCTGGCTGGCATAACAGAGGTGAGGGGCTTACAGCTTCCAACACTACTGTTTTTCACCCACTAAGCAGATCTACCCTAAGCACTCAGTGGTATAGGGATCCATGGGAATACATCATGCAATTTAAGTATGACAACACATACAGACAAAGCGCACAAATGAAGAACACAGCGGCTTCTTAACCAGAGGGCTGTAAAAACCCTCTACCATATTATTTGCACAAATAGAAACTGTGTCTATGCAACAGCTTCAGTCCTACATTTGGCTCCCCAAAACAGAGGATTTTTAAATATCCAAGTAAAATCTACAACTGGACTTACCAGTTTTAAAGATTAACACCTGCACAGCCTTTTGCAGCCAGATGCACTATTGCATTGCCTTAGCTCCAAACTACCGAGCATGAGCCAGCACCAATCTGAAGGCATCATGCTCACCCAGTGGCAGAATAAATACAAGTCTGTGCAGAGGGCCTTGCTGGCAGAGTGTATCACGCAGTAAGACAGCTTCTCCCACACACAATCTGGAAGGGAAGAATCCTGGAGCAAAAGCCAAATCTTAATTTGCCCAAATATAGTACTATTCCCAAACCTCATTGTTACGAACGGCTGAATGGATCCGAAAGAATCAGCCTTGAGCTGACAAATGGCAAATTGTTTAAGCACAGCGGAGTCATACGAAACCTCAGGATTCTTCCTAAGAAGTGCAAGGCAACGTTTAACTATGGGTATCGCTAATTTCACATCCTATGATCCCACCTACAATACCAGACAACTTGGTAATTTTTAAAGTCCATTCACATGCATCTAACTTTTGCTTATTTGCATTCCCAAGTTCTAGCAATTTTAAAGCCAGAGAGTATGACAGCTTATTAAGACAAAGAAAGAAAAAAATAAAGAACAAATCACTGAGATCTAAAATTGGAAAACCCAAGATAATTTTTCATTACTGAACTGTAGTCTACAAATATTTAAATTTTAGAAAAATAACATGTTGAAAATTGCATATTTTTGTACAGTATGTGTCATTGGCTAACATATACACATTACAGACAGATTTTTAAGAGACTGTCCTATTTCTCCATGAGAAATGCTATCATTTGTAACTTGCACCTGCCTTCTATAAACAGAGATACTGAGCTGTGCTGATCAAGGGTTTCCACACCAACAGATTTATGCTAAAAGCTAGCAAATGCAGTTCCTTTCCAGCACTCTTTTTAGTTTTAATTATAGCAGCTGGTACATTAACCTTCTTTGCTATCCAAAGGAAAAACACTTATCAGTATCTCTGTAGGGGCTAACACCATTTACAGTTACTAAATAGTCTTACATACTAATTGATGTTTTAGCAGAGAAAAGGTTTTCTGCTTCCCCCTGGCAATTTTCCAGCATGGATTTCAATACATGGATAAAATAACCAGGCCTGCATTCATACAACAAAACTCTAGGCACGCAGCTAAATGACTATGGTTGTAACCTGTTCACCTGAAACCCCTTTGAGGTAGCACCTACAGGGAACGACTTGCTCTCTGGGGATGCCCATCCTCCCCCTGTAACCACAGAGTGAGCCTCAGGCAACCAAGTTTTTAATTCAGGCACCTCAGTTAAATGCCTACAGACAGGGGTGAGGGAATCTAAACCCTCACATCTCACCAATTCCAAATGGCCAGTGCGTATCCAAAAGTGTTGATGCATATACTAGTGGAGACGAACAAATACCAGTATGCACGACTGAAGCTCTGAGATGCAATTGCTCATCCAAGCAAAAAAGAAAACACTAGACGTAAACACAAATGAGTAAACATGACGGTCTCCGAAGACTGAAGACCATAGCTCATTTAGCAGAGGTATAATGTATGTTTTTTCAATATTGTGTTATCTTTTCCTGAGATTTGTCTTCACCAGTGTTTAGCAGATTAAAACTAGACCTTTTGTTATGACAATCAATCCTGGCCTCCTGTACCACACATGGCAGAGAATTTCACAGAATCACAGAATGGTCTGGGTTGGAAGCGACCTTTAAAGATCATCTAGTCCAACACCCCTGCTATGGGCAGGGACATCTTTCACTGGATAAGCATGTTCAAAGCCCTGTCCAACCCGGCCTTGAACACTTCCAATGATGGGGCATCCACACTTGCTCTGGGCAACCCATTCCGGTGTCTCACCACCCTCATCGTAAAAAATTTCTTCCTTATGTCTAATCTAAACCTACCCTCTTTTAGTTCAAAATCATTGCCCCTTGTCCTGTCACTACAGGCCCTGGTCTGAAGTCTCTCTCCATAATGCAGATGGGCAGACAGACCCCCACAGAAAAGAGGCACAGACACGCAACTTTCACCCTCCAATTTCTGCGTAAGAAAACGCAAACCAACACACAGTCTTGAAAAGCGAAGCACGTAAGTGAGAGACAGTATTTAGAGAGGAGGAGGGAAAAACCCCCTTCTCCAGTACCTGCAGTTCTGCAGGGGATTTTTCTTGGGGAGCTTTACAGGCACGCACAGCTTCTCCATTTCTGGGGCATCCAAGGTCAAGTACCCGTTTTCACAGCTGACAGAAATGAGGACCAGCCGTGGCTCCTGGCGAGCTGTAACCATGTGCCCATCTTCCTTGGTCACAAGCCAAAACCTGCAAGCGTGGCGGGGGACAGAAACGCGCCGAACGACATTAAAGGCCGACGCCGGGTACGGGGCACCCCCGCCGCCCCGCAGCGTGCCGGGCACGGCAATACCAGCACAACCGCTGCCCCCTCGAAGGCGGTGAAGAAAACATCTAAGAAACCCGGAGCCAGAACGGAGGCCTG